CCCCAAAACCCCAAAACCCCAAAACCCCAAAACCCCTTGGGGGATTTCCAATATTGGATATTTCTAATAAAAAATGAGGAATTCTTCAGTATAACTAGGCCAAACTGCTCTTGTGTTAGCCAAGATTTCTATGTCCCCGCTTGACTAGGACTGTCGTCCTAGTCTTTGTGGGTGAAAGAGGCTCTTGCTTCACTGTGGCTCAGTGCCTGCCCCGTTGAATTTGAGAATTTTTGGATTTTTGGGGATTTTGAGGAGGGGAATTTACCGGATTTGAATTGGTACATGAGTGATTTCTAGCAAAGAGTTAGGGAAATCATACTTTTTGTTGAAGATGGTCAGCAAGTTCTTATTTTAGCCAGAGGTTTATTTGGCTTCCTTTGAGGTTTACTTTGGTGAGAGAGGAGATTTTTGGAGGGTTTAATTTAAGTCTAGATGAGGAGTTAGAGATGTTAGGAAGCAGGATTTACTTAGAGTTTGAAATTACATTAGGCTTAGGCTTTTGTAGAATTAAATTTCTGATTCTTTAAATTTACTTTAATTGTTGTAACTACTTCTTCATTTACATTCTTAAAATAATTGTTCTGAAAAATAATAGAATTCATAAACTCCTTCTTTCCTTTCTGTTCCTTTCTCCAATTCTTTCCTCTTCGCCAATCACAGGACATTTCACTCCTCTCACCATGATAACCCACCATAGAGCACCAAGGATTTCCTTCATTAGACATCTTCATATCTTCCGGTCAACCTAAGCTAGCCCTAGAATAAAGCCTGAAATTACTTCAAATTGAGAGCTTTCACATTAAATTTAGATTTTTGTTTCCTTTGTTTATTTACTGATTAAAATCCTCTTTCTGGAATTCGAGCTATATTTTAGAAACTTATTTCGGGATAGATCCAAGCTCCAACTGAGTCTTTTTATGTGAGATATCAGTAATAATAGACAGTCTTTTCTGTCGATAATCCTCCTTTTCGATTGATTGGGACACCAGTGAGTCGTATGAGTGCCTATGCGCGTTATACTTCCTCCTAGATTGATTTATCCTGCTGTTAGAGTAGCTGAGATTATTTGAGCCCCTCTTTTTGATATATACTTCAAACGGAGTTGATAGGGTATCTAATTTGGTAATGTAGCTATTATTCTTATGTTTGCTCTGCGAAGAAGCCTAAATCACATTAATTTCATCCTGGATAATTAATGGCATAGATTCATCAGTACTCTCTAAACTTACTCGATTCATAGGTGGCCCTTCTGAGTTTGGGGTGACAATTTGGGAGATGGTATTCTTCCATCTTTTCTCCTCAAGCTCCATTTTCAAAAGATTATATTTCAATATCTATTCCTCTGGATGGGGTTTTGGGGTTTTGGGGTTTTGGGG